AAAGGCCTTTTTAGTCCTAAGGCAGTGGAATGATGTCAAGACGGGAAGACCACGCATGATACAAACGTGACAATCACCAATTATTTCAGTATTTTGAGGGTGGCGTTTCTCTGTGCCCCAGCAGAGAAGGATGAGGGTGAAGTTGGAACCCCACCCCAAACTCGAAACTGAAACGTGCTTCCTCAAACCTGGATCATTAGTACAGTCCTTGTTCCTTCCTGGTTATAATTTTACTTTGTAATGGAAATTTGAAAGCAGTCATTAAAGATAACTTCCAGGGGGGCTCGTCTGACACAAGGTGAGATTGCTTCAGGGCCGAGTGCTTCCCAGAACGGTCTTTTCAGCCTTCTAGAAGGACTGCGTCTTCCAGTGTGAGCTCCGCCGGGTCAGGAAGACAGGGTTGCTTTCTGGCTCAGGGAGACTGAAGCTGGGGGCTCTTGTAAAGAGGGGACACGTCCGGCTTCAGAGGAAGCAGGATTCTTAATTTACCTGGGAGAAGAGCAGCAAGAAAGAAACACAAAGAAGGGCAAAGAGGAGAAACAAGAAGAGGATTTGACATGTATTCTGGGAGCGGAGGATCGATGTCCTGGCCTTGATGGTGTCAGTCTGAGCTCGCCCGGAATCTCAGCGCGGTGAGGTAGGGTGTACATGCGGCGTGCGTGTCTGTACACCCACTGACTTAGCCCGGCTCCTTCTGTGTTGCTGATTCCTAACATGACAAAACGCAACTCTTCACTCTAAATCTGTCTTGCGTTCTTATTCTTCCCAAAGGGGTCTTTATCGATGGGATTGATTTAGATTTAGCCAACAAAAGAAAACCTACCAGTTACCAAGCCACAGACGTGTGCTTTTGTGAAAATAGCCTTATTTAATCCTTTAATAAGAATTATGGCATGGTCAACATTATTATTGATGATTGGGTGGTCAGGAAACTGAGCTTAGGGAATTCCAGGTCACACGGTGGGAGTCTTGTGCCTGGCTTGGTACCTGTGTTCTTCCTTTGTGCCATGTTATGGAGCCAACAGAAGAGAATCTGGGCCCACCCTGGCAGTTTTGGAGGACACTGAATCACGACGGGAAAGGAAATCTGTCGTGTCTTCGCACTTGCACAATATGCTAGGTGTCTAATCGAGACACCAAGCTACAGAACATTTTCATCTTAAGGCAAGAGAATAGTGAGAAATTTCTCTTACCTTCTCTGTGGTCACTTCCTTTAGGAACTGCCACTGCAGAGAGAAGATTGCCTCTCCAGGCATTGCACAATAAATCGCCACCCAGCGGCTCTACATTTTTCATGCTTTTTTATCTACAGCTTAGTAGGAAACTGTTTCTTGCCTCATGGGCTACAAAGTGCCGTCTGGGCCTCCCACACCCTGCACTGGGCCTCCCCCAGAGCTTTCCTTCTTCCCTCGTACGCCTGCACATGGCAGTCAGAGGCCGAGGCCCTTGGGAAGTCAAGCCCTCCTCCCAACTTCTGCAGCATCTCCTTAGGCCTAGGGCTTCCCTGAGCAGCCGTCCAGGCTTGAGCTATTAAGGACCAGTGCCCCCTGCCCAGGCAGCCAGCGCCTATCCAGGCGGGCAGGGGCCTGCTGTCCTCCAGCGGGCCCAGGGGGCTGTGTGTGCCACGCAGGGGATAATGTGGACGGGATCTGTGCCCAAGCGTTTACTGAGAAGTGGAAAATGCGTGTGCCCAGAGCCACTGAAGCCTGGCCCAGAAAAGGGATGACAGGGAAATTGTGGTATGTTTCTCTAAAGAAAACCCAAAAATATAAGCAACACACAACAGCAAAAAAAAAAAAAAATCCTAAAACCATCTCAAGAGTGTCATGTATTTGTATTTTCACGTCCTGCCCTATAATTTCTCACAAAGCCCTGGGGCTGGTAAATGTGGAGAAATGAGCGTATCACTAAGGTCCTTGCTGGACCGCATTTTACTTAGAAACTCAGTACAGTGCCTGGCACCATAGAAGATGCTCAGTAAATATTTGTGGGATGTGATGCTTGAGGAATCTCAAGAGTCTTGCTGTTGACTGACTGAAGCCCTCAAGTCCCCTTGCTTGGTCCACCTACTTAACAAACCAAGAAGAAAAGTTGAAAGGGCTGGAAGTCATCTGAGCTTCCTACCGAATCCCCTGGCAACACCGTGAGAGACCCTAGACCTATGGGCCCCACCTTGGTGTCCCTGAGCATCTAAAGGGCTGAGAGACAGACAGCTGGCAGTCCGAGGGTGGCTCTCACACTTGAAGTCTTCGGGGAACTTGGACTTCTCATCTGACAAAGCTATTCGAGGCCACCTGCAGCGTCCGAGAGCTTTTACCTGGACCATCTCGACTCGGGCGGTTCTCTCCTGCAAACCGGAAGCTCCGACTAGCAGCTGTCTCTAGTGCTGGTTTGTAAAATTCAGGAAATCAAATCGTTGATCATTTGCGTTTGTTGGATGGACAGACTCTTGTGAAAACACACACACACACGAGGAACTTCTCCATCAAACGAGTGAGGGGGTTGAGAATTAGAATAAAAAAACCGCAGCAAGCACCACCCTAAGCTTCAAGCCACTAACATGAGATTTGGGTCCCACCTTTGCTTCGGAGGAACCAGATTAGGTCACAGTTATTTTTCACCGGGAGCGGAGAAGTTTCTGATCGGTGGGGTGCAGTTGTGCCTGTGGGAAATGAAAGAAGCCAGAGGAAGGAAAATGGGGTGTGTGTCCTTTGGGATCTTTTGGGTGCCAGCCACCGACTCTGGCAACTCGGTGTGCCCACCACGGACCCCGGGGCAGTCGTGTGCCTTGTAAGGAGGGACTGGAGGAGTCTAAACTGTGGGCTTCTTGAAGCCAGAGCCTGCGTCTGATGATTCTTGGAAATCCCAGCACCTACCTCATTCCTGGCACCTTAGAGGCACTCGGTCAGCAATTTACGTAAGTGGACTGAGCATTCCTCAGAGGGCTCGTTTCTGGTAACATGATATATGTGTGGCTCCTTCGCTGGGGGCTGCTGCCAGCCTCCCAGGAATTCCTCCTCAGGTACCAGTCGCGTGCCAGGCTCCCCCCCCCAAACCCAGAGCTTTCATCACGGATGATGTTGACTTCCTAGGGACACACCAGGCTGTGGGTTGGGGAGGCTCTGGCTTAGTGACCGCATA